TCTGTGCCTTAATAAAGCTATAATTTATATTTAGTGCTTTCCTGAATTCTGTGAAATCTTCTAGTGAATAATCAAACCTGAGCAGGTCAAGGGAACCTCCCAAATATATAAGCAGCTGGTCAGAAGTGAGGGTATCTCTGGGAAATCATAAGCTTGTAGCTGGTGAATGAAATGAGGGCAGTCTTGTGGAAGATTGTGCCCTTAACCTATGAAATTTGGCCCATGGGTAGAGTCAGAATTGCATTGCAAAGGCTCTACATATTTACTGCCACCTGTATTCCTGAGCTACTTTCTCTAACCTCTAAGTTCTTTGGTTCAGAGAGGAATTTTGACCATTTTTAAAGAATAAGCCTGTTATACATTACATAATTTAATTGCAATTGTAACAGTAGTGATTATTTCTGATGTAAATCAGACATCAGAGATTTTTTTCCCAACAAACTTTTATTAAGGATATTCCATGGGTACATTCTAGATGGCATGATACAGAGATAATTCACAATTCCTGCTGCCACGGAGTTCTGGTCTAGGAAAGACTCGGATAAACCATTACAACAGAATTAATTAGTGTGATAAAAGAAACATGACTTGGGACACATGGCAATGCCAAAAGAGTAGGTGAGAAAGAAAACAGAGGCCTGGAAGAAATGCTATCAGAAGTATGAGAGCTGGGCAGGGTAAGAAGGAGAAAGAGGATAGTGTGGAAGGTGAAGAATGGAGTGCCCTCTGGGACCTGGTACAAAGTTGACTTGCACATAGGAGAGGTAAGAGGTGCAGCCAGAGAGAAACACTGGGCCCAGAACATAAAATATCTTACAGACACTATGCTAAGAAGTGGGAGTGTACCTTGAATGCAGTGGGGAAGCACAGAAGGATTTCAAGCAGGAGAATAAAGTAAAAGATGTGTTTTAGGAAAAAAAAAAAAAAACATAAGAAACCAACCACCCCCCTCAAAAAAAAACCACCAAATTGGAAGTGTTATAAGTAGATTAAATATCAGATGAAATTGGAATCTGTCTTAAGAAGTGATGAGGTAACTGCAGACAAAAACAGTAAGCTTTGGAATTGGAAAGATGGAGTCAGAAACAAGAGATATAAGGAGGTAAAATGGGAATGTACTTATTTGATTTTGAAGGGGTCGGCACTTAGGGACGCATCAGGGTTTGGTCTGGATGGTGCTTCTTGTCACTAAATGGAATCCAGGAAGAAAAGCATCCATGGTGGGGAGAGTAGAGCTCAGTTCTGTATGTGCTGAGATGCTGTGAAACAACTACGTATAGCCGACATATGGCTGAACGTGTGAGATGGCAGTTCGGGTAAGTTATTGCAAGTGAAAATACAGACACGAGGGTCATAACTTGAACGATTCTGTAATTACAGGAATGAATAAGGTATCAAATTGGAGTTTGTAGAGCAAAGAAAGAATGAACAAGACAAGAAAAGAATCCCCCAAAACACCAACGTTTGAAAAGTAGAGGGAATGAGAACATAGAACTTGAAGAGAAATGGTGTCACAGACCAAGGAAGAATCAACAAAACTGCAAAGATCCAGCAGCAGAATTTAATGCAGGTCATTAGAAACCATGGTTTCACTGTAGAAGGGATGCAAATCAGATTAAAGAACAGCAGGATTAACAAAATAGCAGGAAGGAGGAATTTGAGATGACCTCTGGATATTTTTTCAAAACATGATATGTGAGGGGAAGAAGTATTGGGTAATAGCTAGATGAGGTAAAAATTAGAGGAAGGTTATTCTGATTATTTTTAAGATGGGTACACCCTAATATGCTGAAGGTAAAAAGCCAGAAGTGAGGGAGTAGTTGAAATTAGGTTAGAGGATAATGGGTTTCCCTTGTAGCTCAGTCGGTAAAGAAACTGCCTGCAGTGCAGGAGACCCGGGTTCAATCTCTGGGTCAGGAAGATCCCCTGGAAAAGGAAATGGCAACTCACTACAGTATTCTTGCCTGGAGAACCCCATGGACAGAGGAGCCTGGCAGGCTACAAGGGGGTCCATGGGGTTGCAAGACTCAGACACAATTTGGTGACTAAATCACCAATATAATGGATGAAGCTAGGGCTCTGTGAACATGGAAGAGATTAAGAGAATGGGTGGATGGATACATGTTCAACAAACAATATGAGGAATACCTTACTGCCAGTAGGAAAGGAAAAAACAATCGTAGGGATGGCACTACAAAGAGAAAACTTACATTACAACTCAAACTACTTACAAGGACAGGGCATTCATTAACAATGGAAATCCTATTGAGCCTGCTATTCTTTGAAAATGATACAAAATAGGCAATGATTTATATACATTCTCTACAGAGGAATGCCATACATAATATCAGGCCCAAATATCCCTTCCACACCATGGTTTCCTTTTCCTGAGGAAGCCAGGAATTAGGTACTGAAATAGATACATAAGTGGACATTCTGTTTCTGCTGAGTAGGCAGAAGGCATGACTAAATGGTGGAGGTATAACATTTTAAACTAGCAGTCACTAGTACTCATTTTTCTATGAAAACAGTTTCATAAAAATAGACCACAAAAACTTAATTCATCCTGTAACAGTTTTCATGGAAAAATCAAAACACTCTGAAATGACGGTGTACTTAGCTGTCTGGAATCCTTAAAAGGTGAGTCACTCATTTATGAATGCCAACCCCACAGGGCAACCAATTCAAATTTATGTCCAGGAAACAGACTTCTGAAGGGGAACTTATAAAAATGGGGTTCACAAGAATCCCATTAACCTGAATGCTGTGTGGAAGATTGATATTTCCTTATGTTTTCCCAGAATCTAGGTAATAATATTCACTTTCCTGTACTGATTGTATGGTCATCAAGTAACCTTCAAGTTGGTATCTGAAAGAAGGAATGTCTAAATTAGGAATACACACCCCCTACCTCTCCCGAAACACTAATAAAGTTGACAAAATGATGCCCAGATTTTTATATGTCAGAAACAGGTAAATATAGTTAGTATTAGTCCATTGCTATGACACTGGTATTCTGGGTAACCTGGAAAATCCAGTTAACATGTTTGTAAGGCTGAAGTTCATCTGCAACTAAATAGTTCATCTGCAATATAGTTCCCCCCTCCAAACTGTGACATAAATAAACTAGTTATCTGGTGATCAGTCAAACAACCAGAGTTTCCTTGTGTCACCTAGATATTATTAAAAAAAACAGAATTAGATCAAGCTATTAGAGCATTATCCAGTTTAATTAATCCCCTTTTCATTCTCTTCTCCCACTGTACACTGCCTGTACCTTTATTACAGCATGTATTGCTGCCTATTATCATGTTATCACTATGGAATGCAGCTACTGATGCTATTTTTCCACCTGAATATAATTTCTAGAGGGCATAGATAGTAACTCATGCTTTTCTTTTTCCCTAAGAATAAAGGACACATAGCCTTACATACAAGACACTCGATAAATATTTATTGTGTTGAAACAGGGACAATAAAGGTCAAATAGGTATTATAGGGCTTCAAATTAGTTGTGAAAGGAATTAAGGTAAATCTCTGCATGTGATGGACACTTACAAATATGTAAGAATATGTCAAAAATGTGGTGGCTCCAGAAATTTGTATGTCTAACTCTTAGGGCTTTTGGGGAGAAAGGCATAAAAGTATTCCAAGTAATTTGCAGAAATGAGTAATAGTCTCAACTCTCACTCTGTCTATTTATTCCTATATCCAGCTGGTTACGGGGTGGAGGTGGGGGTGGCGGGCGGCAGCGGTGGAGAAATCCCATAGCTCATTCTAGTTTTGTTGAATTTCACAAAAAAACTGGATTTCATGTTTAAAATAATCAAATGTCATGACATCCTGGAAAGACTGAGAGTTTTTTAATGATATATTTCTTTGTGGTTTTAAACATTACTAAAGTGAATGTAGAATATCATTAACTTAGGTCTGAATTTACTTTTATTCTCCTGACATTTGATATAAACTTCTAAAAGTAAGTTCAGAAGTTTGAATTGAAACAGGTTCCAGTTTGGATTGACATCAGATTTTAATCAATCCTTGTCTTCCCTTCCTCCATTTAATTATGTTCATGATCATCCACATTGATTTATATAATTAATGCATCTCAACTTGTTTTGCCACTGAGTAGATTCAAGATTGATTATTACTTCATACACAAATCACTATAATAGTTTATCAAATCACTTCCCTCTTTTTAGTCCCTCCCTTCTCAGCTCCATTAAGCATATCTACTTGATGGCTCTTGTTAAGCAGCAGTCTCACCAAGTTACTCTACAAATATTGAGTATCTAGTTCAAGCAAAGCACTGATACAGATGTTACAGAGAAGATAAAAACAGGTAAAACACTGCCCTTGTCCTTCAAATCCACAGCATAACTAAAGAAATAACAAGCAATAGTAATAAAACATTAAAGGAAATGAGAAGTGGAAGAAAGGAAATAGATTGCAGCTCAGGTGAGAAACTATAGTATACACTTTAAATATACTATATTTTAAACTAGAATTTAAAAGTTAAGATGCCTACGGAATAGAAAAGGAGTATTCCAGGTGGATGTAACAATACTCAGCAATGAGTGACTGTGAAAGTTAAAACAAAATAACTGGAACTAATATACAAAGCTCAGTCGCTCAGTCGTGTCCAACTCTTTGCGACCCCATGGACTATAGCCCGCCAGGCTCCTCTGTCCACAGGGATTCTCCAGGCAAGAATACTGGAGTGGGTTTCTATGCCCTCCTCCAGGGGATCTTCCTAACCCAGGGATCAAACCCAGGTCTCATGCATTGCAGGCGGATTCTTTACTGTCTGAGCCACCAGTGAATCCCAATATACAAAGAAGATGAGATAAAATAATGTGGGCTCAGCTAGTAAAGAATCCACCTACAATGTGGGAGACCTGGGTTTGATCCCTGGGTTGGGAAAATCCCCTGGAAAAGGGAACAGCTACCCACTCCAGTATTCTGGCCTGGAGAATTCCACGGGCTGTGTAGTCCACAGGGTCACAAAGAGTCAGACACGACTGAGCTACTTTCATTTTCACAAACCTGGGCAGCAATCTCATTACATGCTATCTAATGAAGACTGCTCTTTAAAAGTGCTACTCTAGTACACAGTGATACAGGGTATAATATTACTTTAAAATAAAAACAAACAAACACAAATCAAGTAACACAGGATCCAGGGTATGTACTCAAGAAAGAGCATAGCAGGTGAACAACAGTTTAAGAAACAGAAAACTGGTCATTGGGCCAACAGGTGCAGCTGGGCAGGCTGTATGCAGTCTATGTGAATGGCACTTTTGGTCCACTACCTGTTCAAAGGTATTCAGTAACCCTGACGGTTTCAGACAGGTAAGCATTTAACTTTGTGGGGGTCTCGCTTTGCAAAAGGGAGCTCACTCAGGAGGAGATGCATCTGAAGGCAAGAAATTAAGTCCAAAGTCTGAAATCAGTTGTACGGTTCAATCTCTTGAAACAACAAGACAGAGATGCTGGTCCTTAGGAACTAGGTATAAGCAAAGGATCAAGATTAGTATGACTTCTGAGTGTAATTTCTATGTAAGATTATTACAGCTTCTTCAAGAAAAGGACTGGCCCCAGACAACACAATGCCATAATCCCCTCAAATATCCCCAACTTACTGATGGGAGTTTAATAGGTCATAGACCAAAATTATTAGGAAAGGAAATAATTGGAAGGAAATGTTATCATATCATTATTGAAGGAAAAACATTTGTCTTTTTTTAATAGTGATTAATACCACATTTGCTTCCTTTCATTATAAATAACATTTCAGCTACATTATAATTTTTAAAAGCTTTGTGCTTTAGCCTATAAATCCGTACATTTTCTGAGTACAAATATACTAATAGCAAGTTTACTTTTTGGGTGAGGGGAGAGGAGAGAATGGTCCCAAAGTGCAACTTTAGTTAGACTTGGAGAAATTTTGTAAAAACCAACTGATCAGAAAAAATCTTTGTTTGGTAATGTATCAACAAATGTTAACTATGTACCACACTGAAGGCCTTTTGATACACACTTTACATATATTACTACATTTAATCCTCAGAAAACATCTAAAGGTAGAAATATTTATAATGGCAGCTAAGAACTGAATGATTACTAAGTACAAGACACTGTTCAGAGCAATTTATATGCAATATTACTCCCTGTAATCCACAAGATGGTCCTATGAGATAACTACCTTTATTGTCTGCATTTTACACATAATATATCTAAGGATTCAGGAATGTTCCTAAGGTCACACTTTTAGCACGGAGGGCCAGAATTCAAGTCTAGTAGTCTGACTTCAAAGCCCAGGTTCTTAATCACAGCTTTCTACTGCTTCTGAAATCGGTATTCATGGCATAAACAGTATCTTTGATACTACTGTTGCATTTTATCAAGTGCCTATTATTTAATGAATGTTCAAAGAGGAGCAATAACCAGAAGCGAAGATAAGACTAAAGTAGATTCTATTTGAGTCTGGATACCAATAAGCCATTATTTTCAGAAAATATAATGAACTTGGAAAGTGAGGTGCTGAAAACTGCTGAAAAGAAACAATGCTCCTCAGTTACAGCAGAAAACTTTACTGTAAATCAAGCAAAAAAATCAAATAAAATAAACTAAAATGCAAGGAAATAAGGTTAAGATGAATCATGTCCTATGCCTGCCTGGGATTTAGAAAATGAAAACCAAATCCACTCCAGGAAAATTAAGTTTGTGGAAATTCTGCAACTTGATATAGACAGGGGTTTAATTTTGGTTAAAAGGGTTTCTAGATTTACCACAGGAAAAAAACCAGCCTCTAAGTAACATAAGTGACCATATTATCTGAATAACTCAATGTCCACAGAGTTTATTAGTGTACATATTTAATAACGACAAGAACTTACGTGGCTTTAAAAAAATTTATATTCTGGTTATGCTAATTTCCAGGCTTATGGAATCACTGCATTGCTCACTGCTTCATATCAGAATCTGTTAAAGAAGGGAAGGTAGGAAAAAAGGAGGTCAAAGACAAAGAGATTCTATGGGGTTTAGAACAATGAAACAAAGGCCCACAAGTGCAAAGATCCCAGGTGGATTCCTGGTCTAATATTCTTTGCATTCTAACTTGCTCCTTCCACAGGCAGAAGTTTCTGAATCTTAGAGTGTTTCTTAGAAATCAGCTAAATATATCTATTTCACTGATAGCAAACCCAGTCCAAACTCACATAATGACTTGGCAACAGAGCTGGAGTAAATAGGCATCCTGACCATGGGCATCCTCTCTGGATATGACTATATTCTTTAGACACACACAGTCGCTGGTGCACACATATTCCCACTGAAAGTATCTTAATTTGTAAGTCATTTTGCTTACTTACAGGTACAGATTCAGCACTTAAATAACATTGTGACGGGGGGAAATACTTTTACTTCTTAAAAAAAGTAAACTTACTGTACACATATTTACACAATGTTATGTGTCAACTATATCTCAATAAAGCTGGAAAAATATTGTTTGTATAAGCACAGCAAAGAGATTAGAAAAATGATAGTGTTTGTTATCTTTAAAAATAAATAAATAAACTTGCTTAGAAATGTCTTCAATTAATATTGTCTTCAAAAACACTTTCATCCAAAGTGAATTCCAAACTGATTCTTCAAGGATAGCTAGGAGTTAGCCAGAGGATGGAGAGAAGAAATTAGTCTCAGGGCAGGATAAGCAAGAAAATTGTTCCAGGCAAGTGCTCGGCATAAGCAAATGACTGCAAAGAGAAACACAATACTTTGCAGATGGGGCACCTCTTAACAAGTTTGACATTCATAGAGACTAATGCTCAGCACAAGAGATGAGGCTGGAAAATGTACTACTAAAACACTGAAATTGAAATACATGAACTACTTGTTGTTCAGTTGCTAAGTCATGTCCAACTCTTTGCAACCCCATGAACTGCAATACACCAGGTTTCCCTGTTCTTCACTATCTTTTGGAGTTTGTTCAAACTCATGTCCATTGAATCATTGCTATTTTGATTTGTGATAGAATGTTATATTCTTTCTCTTTCAAGAGCACATTTCCTATTTTTTCATGAGCAAACTACTTTTATGTACTTCAATTTTTTAATCAGCTTTTTACTGAAGTATAATTTACATACAATAAAATTGACCAATTTTCAGTATACAATTTGATGAGTTTTGACAAATTACAACCACCATTACAATTAAGATATAGATTATCTTCATCACTTTAAAAAGTTCCCTCATGCGTCCTGCAGTCAATCCTTTCTCCCATCCTTGACCCCTGGTCAGCAATGATCTCTCTGCCACTAACCTTTTGCCTTTCATAAAGTTTTATATAAACAGAATCATATGGTAGACAAACAAAAAACCACTTTCATCCAACACACAAAAAATAGTTTTAGTAATATTAAAAAATAAAGAAATTAAAGAGTGACTAAAAAACTTGCATACAAGGTGATAAATATCTTAATTATCAAGGAACTGCATACTGAAACCATAATGAGATAGCAATACACAATCACTAAAATTTTAAGGACACACAATACCAAACATTGGCGAGGATATGGAGGAATAGGAACTCATTCATTATTGGCAAGATGTGGCACCATCTACTGTAGTAAAAAGGCTTTCCTGTGGCTCAGCTGGTAAAGAAACTGCCCGCTGGGAAGATCCCCTTGAGAAGGGAAAGTCTACCCACGCCAGTATTCTGACCTGGAGAATTCCATGGACTGTATAGTCCATAGAGTCACAAAGAGTTGGACACAACTGCACAACTTTCACTGTAGTAAAAACACATGCATCCTATTAACACAGGTATTCAAATTCTTGGGTATATACCAAGAGAAATGGTATATACCATTTACTTCCAACAAAAGACAGATATAACAATGTTTAGAGCAGACTTCTCAAATTGTACATTTAAAATTTTGCGGACTTTGCTGCATGTAAGTTATATACCACCTTCAAAGTACTCTTTTACTCATCCATATTGAGATTCTGAGATTCATCCAGGATGTTTTATGTAGCAGTAGTTCACCTTTTTAATTGTTATATAGTATTGTATTGTTGAATGGACTACAATTATCTTTTTAATTGTTGCTGAGCATCTAAAATTTTAAAAAATTGTTTAGAACCCGAGTGAACATTTTCACTGCTCATTGGATTTTGTTTACTAGAATACAAACAAAGTTCAGATGAACTTTGCTAGCTTTCTTCTATTTTGAATATTAACATATTGGTAGGCAACATTTATTTGGTGCCAGTCAAGTCTACAGTGTGCAAGTCAATGACAGAATGATAGAAACAAAGTTTTTCTCAGAAAAAGTACCTCAGAGTATAATAATAATGTTTGCTTAAGATGACTCTTATGAATCAATAAAATAGTCCTCCTAGAGGTCTAATTGAACTATGTCAGGATTTCAGAAAACTATAGTGAATGAGGAAAAGAACGAGAACCAATCTTGGTGGAAGAGGAGTCTGATTCCCATAATCTGATAGACACTGTAGATTACCAAAAATTAATTCCAAACTCCGTATCTGCCATTATTGATTGAGTCTTTACTACATGCCTGATACTGTGCTAAGCCCTTAATATGTATTTTTTCATTTAACCTCATAATAATCCTATGAAGGATGGTACTATTATCTCTATTTCACAGATGAGACCACTGAGGTTTAGAAAGGTAATGCACTACTGAAACCACATACAAGCCCCTGCGTCCCCGTCCTTTGAAGTAAAATGCTTCCCTTGTGGCTCAGACGGTAAAGAACCTGCCTGAGATGCGGGAGACCTGGGTTCGATCCCTGGGTCAGGAAGATCCCTGGAGAAAGGAATGGCAAACCACTCCAGTATTCTTGCCTGGAGAATTCCATGGACAGAGGAGCCTGGTGGGCTGGTCTATGGGGTTGCAAAGAGTAGGACACAACTGAGTGACTAACACACAACCAGTTTCCCTTGAGTCTCAAAAGACTGGCTCAAGAGTTAATGATTAGGAAATGTGAAGGTACAGAAGCAAAGAATAGAAGTTGGGTTGGGAAACTGGTAACAATTTAGACTACAGATTGTTATCAGTTACTATAGATTCTTTCCCATGGCAGAATCACTGATCTCCCAGTTCTCTAAAAGATATAAAGGCCTGACACACATTCCTAAGTTGTCTTTAGAGGATGCAGACCCCCACCAGATGAAAACAATGCCCACAAGAACACAGACCCTAGACCTGTTGAGACCCAAAGGCTGATGATGCTTGAAACTTCACCTTGATGTCAACCAATCTGAGAACTATGCATAAGCTGATCACATACCTTGCAGCCTCCTCCCTTACAACGCCTTTAAGACCCCCTTTCCTAACCACCTATATAAATGCCAATAAAATTAATTTAAAAAAACAACAAACACTTACCTGAAAGCCACTGGGGAGTTTTGGTCTTTTGAACATGAGCTACCCACTCCCCTTGCGTGGTGCCCTGCAATAAATGCTGTACTTTCCTTGACCACAACTCAGTGTCAGTAGATTGGCTTTACTGTGCACAGGAAAGCAGACCCAAGTTCGGTTCATTAACACTACTGAGCAGAAACACCTAAATTTAAACCAAGGTCTGAAGGATTTCAAAATATGAGTTCCTAATCATCATGCAAACTTCTCTCTGCGTAATTCTTCCCTTACAAATAATGTATTTATAATAATATTACTATATGTAGATGTGGACTCATTCATTCAACATGCATCTACTGAGCACACGTGCCAAACACTGTTCTTGGTGTTTCTTTCACATTAGTAAACCAAATGGAACAACAAATTCTTGATTTTCTGGTGCTTATATTCTAGGATGGCATGGACAATAAACATAATAAATTAGTAAATTACACAGTTATCTTAGAAGGTAAATATGTGCTCTGGGGGGAAACAGCAGGTGAAGTGACTAAAACTGTCAGTTTTACACAGGTTAGGCCTCACTGAGGAGGTAAATTTTGGGCAAAGACTTCAAGGAAGTGGAGCCAGGAACAAACAGATATCTGTGGGTGGTGGTGTGGAGAACACCACGACGTGAGGCCAGAGAGACAGAAGAGCAGTAAAATGCAATCACATGTGTACTTATCTAACTCCTGTAGAAATGCAACAAAATAATAACACAAGTTGACGGCTAAGTGAATGGATAAACATGTGATTGAATACATAAAGCAAAATGTTAAAACTGTAAAACCTAGGAGGTGGCTATGTGGATATTTACTGTCAAATTGTTTTAATTTTTCTATATATTTGAAACTTTTAATGATAAATTGTTGATGGAAATGCAGTCATACTTGAAACCTTTTAAATGGCAGGAGAGAAATTAATTCACACAGAAACATTCTGCAAAAAAAAAAAAAAGATGACGCCAGGTTTTTTCTGCTTATATTTGCTGAGGTGGGGAAGAAAAAAGACTGCCATAACATGTTTACTTTATCTACCTCCAGAAAAGTCCTCCAAATCCACACTCTTATTGAGAAATGAAGACAGGCAGAAAGGTGTGTTTAAGAATTCTTTAGTGAAAGTAAGTTCCTTTGACCAAATTTTGAAAAGTAAAACATGACATTACTTCTGTATTTCAAAATACAGTATTTCTTTGCCAACTCAGAATAACTTCATTTACAATATAGATTTACCAAAAAGAAATAAAGTATACCTTCCTTTGGATTACTAATTATTCTTTATGGCAATGTTCTTTCCCTGTGAAGCTATCTGAAATCACTCAAGGAAAATCTGAAAACTGAAACATGCTAGAAAATGATCAGTACATTGGAAAATTTACCTACTCAATAGTGACCATATAAAGTATATATGACATGTCATGAGCCTTTCAACATAAATGACTTCCTAAAGTATCATAAGCAAGGCATGTTTATGTTTGATAATTTCACCAATGATTTTTGACCATCATCAAAATATCACTCTCTGCACTTCATAAAGACTGAAAAAGAAATCATCATAACAAATAAATTGCTCAGCTCATAGTGAATAATGATCTATTTAACAAACATTTATTGAATACCTACCATGTACCAGACACTGTGATATGCCTTAGGGATGAGAATATAAATAAAATATAGCTCCTGATTTCATGAAATTTATGGTTTGATAAAGAAGATACACAACTACAAAACACCTAAATTGACCAGTAAGTATATATAAGCAGTGTTACTGTAACAAAAAGGAGATACCTAAATCTAGTTTCAGGATCTCTGGGACTACTTCTTTGATTTAGTCTTAAAGAATGTGTAGCAGGGATTTAGGAAGGAGAAAATGGCCAAGGCTATTCCACGCTGAGGTGGCCGCCTGACTAAAGGCAGAGAGGCACAGAACAGCATGTTGTGGGCACAGAACTAGACAGCTAGAGAAAAAGCTCATGGTAAGTAGCGGAGACAGATGAAGCTATAGAGGTAGACAACTGTCACATCATGGTTGATCTTGTGGGACATGTTAAGGAGGCTGGACTTTCTCTTGGCCTCAAAAGGATTTAGAAGGGGAGTGACATTTTCAGATTGTATCTTAGCGAGATCTCCTTGGCTCCTGAGAGAAGGATGAATGTGAAGGAGACATGGTGACCAGATGCAGGAGTGGCATAATGAGGACCTGAATCAAGATTGTGATGGTAGCCATGGTTTCTATTGAGAAAGACCAGCAGATTGTCAGATTAAAATGTGAGGTGACTTCCAAGTGTCTGGCTTCGATAGGAGTCTACAGATGACAATGTCTTCCAATCAAAGCAGACAATATAGAAGGAAAAGCCAAGTTGAAAGCTGATGGATTCAGCTTTGGATGTGTTAGATTTGATATGCCTCTGGGTTACTCAGATGATTTCCAGAAAAAAGTTAAATACAGGATGCTGAGAAAGAGGTCTGAATGAGAGGTGAAAATTTGAGTCTGCAAAACATAAGAGATAACCTGAAATCATGGTAATGAATATTAAGGATTTCATTTGTTTCTTAATGTAGCCATATAGGTGTGCAGTAGTAGGAATGATTTTTAATAATTTCCCTAATGTCTAATGATGTTTGGCATCTTTTCAAATGTGTATTTGCTACTCATGTAACTTCTTTGGGGATGTGTCCATATTTAATTTTTCCCCATTTTAAAAACTGTTTTCTTATTATTGTGTTCTGAGAGTTCTTTGTATATTCTCAATATAAGTCCTTTATTGGATATATGCTTTGAAAATATTTCCTCCCAATGTGTGACTTCAATGTTTTCTGAAGACCACTGTTTTTATTTTGCTGAAATACAATTTATTTTTTTCTTTTCTCTATCATACTTTTAGTGTTGCACCTAAGAAATCTTTGCCTAAGTCACAAATTTTTTTCTCCTGTTTTCCCTTGGAAATTTGAAGTTTTCCACTTACATCTATGAGTGATTTTACTTTTGTTTATTGTATGAGGAATGAATCTAACAGTAACAGTGGATAGAACCAATCATTAAGATATACAGAATTAGAAGGCCAAAGCCTGGATGAAATTCAGAGAGAAAAGATAGCCAAGGCTAAAGGACGCAGAATTGAGCAAAAAAGCATTGCCAGAGAAGCACAATGAAAATTATGAATAATCAATATTGCCTGCTGAGATATGCAATGAAATTCGTCTTTTTAACTTGGATGAGGTCATTAGTGACCTTAGGAAGACCATATTCAGTCATAACAAATGATCTCGGCATTGGAACTACATTTAACCAACCACTTTAAGAATTCCCCCTGTGGAAGCGTTGTGGCGAGGTCTGAAATCCGTGAGCATTCTTAAAGGTCACTTCTCAGGGCACAGGGGGGTTTTGGGCTTCCCGACTCTGACGATGACTGAGGCAGATTCCAGTCACACACCCCTTGGGGCACTCCAGAATAAAGTTTCAGGGACAAACCCGAGGAATCATGGCCCCGCTGGGAAATTAGAAACAACATTCATCACCAGTTTTGCCAAAATGACAGCTCGACAGGAAAGCAGCTGGTTAAATTACAGCCGAATGAAAAGGAGAGAATGGGAATGTGTGCATTTGGGCTATCTCGGGGCAGACTAGGAAAACACCCTTCCACCCGCCACCCTCTGGTGTTTCTGGAGGAGAGAAGGAAGGCGTGGGGCTCCTTGGTGCAACCTCGCGGCTGGCTTTCTTCGCTGGCGAAAAGCTCTTGCACTTACCTGGTTTCAGGCTGGGATGTTTATAAAATTAGGGGATCGTGGGCAGGCCTCGTCCCTTCCCAAAGGCCATGCTGGGAGACTGGTCGGACGCCCCTGACCGGGTGAACTTTCGCCTCCCAGCCCCAGCACCCTGCGGGTCAACCTTAGAGGCGGTGGGACGTGCGGGTGCGCCAACCGGAGCCTACAGAAGTCACCGCTTCCAGCTAGTCGTGAAATGCCGTAAAGCGGAGGCGCTTTGCGGCATCGTAGGTGAGGCCGGCGGTGTGGCTCCTTTCTCCCGGTAAATCCTCCGCTTGGGCAACTACTTCTGGAACGGAGGCAGATAGGAATTTGGGGAGGACAGGGATTCAACTGTCGTTTTCTCAGCTGGTAATTGTCTGCTCCTAGCGTTGTGTAATAAGAGGGAAAGCGGGTGGGGCTATTTAAAAACACTCCAGTCCTTATTTATAAGGCGGGAAGTTCTTAAATCTCCCGCTGACATGCCGTCCCTCCTCGGGTTATTTTGGTTTCCTTTTTCATTACTAGATTTTAGGTATCCTCGATGTAGCTGACACTTGATTTTCATATTCATTTCGTCCTGCAGTCACCCTCCTTCTGTTATTTGAGATGTTTTACATGATTGGTTTGGGCCTGGGAGATGCTAAGGACATCACAGTCAAGGGCCTGGAAGTTGTCAGACGCTGCAGTCGAGTGTATCTGGAAGCCTATACGTCAGTCCTGACTGTAGGGAAAGAAGTTCTGGTAAGTGCTTAAGGCTTTCCAGCCTCCTGGGAAGACGGATATTTAACAGCTTATTTTTTTTTTCTTTTACACTAAGCTGAATCGAATTTTTCAGGTCACCTGGTTGAAACCCTTTAAAACACATCCCCTTCTCATGAAGAATCTGAGTACATCACATGGCAATCATACATTAACCATGTGACTTGGAAAATGAGAAGGTGCTTTTTCTTACAAGTCTAATTGTGTAGCTTTCTCCATTAAATAGGAAAGGAAAGTTATTTTGCACTCCTGGGGATAGTCGTCAGAATCCCTTATTTCATGAGATAGCCAAGAAATCCTTTCTGAGTTGAGTGCTAATGAGCCTTAATGAGTTGGTTATGTATTCAGGGACCAAACTGAAGGCTTCCCCCTTTGAAGTATTTCCATAGGGAATGGTAATCACCTTTCTGTCTGTGTCATATCCAGAGAGATCTAACCTTTAAATAGACGGTTCCCAGTCAGGCTTATACCCATACACTTGAATGTGTTGAGTGAGCCAAGAACTTGGTAACCATAGAATTTGCTAGCATATGATATATTTAGCTGGGTTTGGTTAAAGGCTCAGTAAATTTTTAAAGAGGGGTCAGATTCAGGTTCATCATCAAGTTTCAAATAGAATGTAGATTAAGATGCAAAACCTGATGGATATATTACAGGAGGAGGGAGAAGATTTTAGGATTGTCTGGTCTATCAAGTCTTCCAAAGAAAAAGGTGACCTAGAGAATTTTCAGTCTTCTGGCCTCTCAGATTAACAGCCCAGGGAATTCTGAAGGTCTCACGGTTACTTTAAAACCTGAAGAAGGACTGCTACTTGAATTAGCCATACTTTAAAATGAAAGTTGTGTCTAATGACCAGCTTTGATTTGTTGGCTTCAGTTTAATAGGATGGAGCTACAGTCTCCAAGCTCAAGATGATAGAAATATTCCTTTCTAACTAGTGATCAGGGGCATTTAGAATGAACTTAAAATCTTCTTAGAGAATATAGACAAATAACAAGTCAGTAGTTTTAAAGAACTGTGCCTGGTTTTATGTCTTTGTTCTGTCACATGTTAACATGTGACCTTAGACAAGCCCTTTAACTTTTGTTTCTTACTTTGTAAAAAGAGGACAGAAATGCCTGCCTTACAGGATTTTAGCATAGTGGCTAGCACAAAAGTGTTCAGAAATAGGAGTTAATAGACGTTTCCAAACATCTCCACATCTCAGTTCCTTCATTTGTCAAATGGAGATAATAACCAGTTGGAAGACTGTTAAGATTATATCATTTATTAGTGTATTTGAAACTGCTTTGCAAATTTAAGTGCTAGCTAAATGTTAACTTTGGTTACTATGATTTTTAAAGTATTTTCCCCCAAAAAACATTTGAACAATTATTACTTATAGGGTCAAGACCTGGTCCTCAAAGGGGGATGGAAAGTGAGGGAAGCATGGTTTGAGAGTTTGGGATAGAAAATGGATAAACAGTAAGGTCTTACTGTACTGCAGTAAGTGAACTGTAGTCAATATTCTTTGATAAACCATGATGGAAAAGAATATGACACTAGATATTATGCTCCTCAGGGCAGGGTTTGGGTATGTCCACACTGTTTCCAACATAATGCATAGAGCTTGGCATGGAGGTTGCACACAAGAAATATCTTTAACATGAGTGAATGAACAAATACATAAATAAGTGGTTATGTTAAAAATAAAGTAGTACCTGTCTATTTCTGCTTTAGCAGTTTCTTCCCTTTTTTAAGCATTCTTTTTAAAGAGGATCAGCCATTTGATTATATTGAGGTATTAGTGCGTATTTCTCTTTGAGGATTTTTTTTTTAATATTCTGTTGTCTCAATTAGATAATGAAATGTTTCTTGAGTTGGGATAAGTGATAAATATGGAGTGAACATGATAGAAGTCTTGAGGAGAGAATGGTTTTCTGTTGTTAAGTCATTTATAAAATATTGGATTGGATTACTGCCAGCATTAAGCTAGTAACATGTGATTCCTTGATCTTTAAGAAATTTTAGAAGTTCAAAAAAGAACATCATTTCTTTCAGCTTTCAGTAATCATATGTGTGTTCTCTTACATATGTGACTATAAATGTTCTACAACTATTAAGTTTACTGGGCTCACAAAATTAAAATAAGGTATATAAAATGAGTGATTAAGAAAAGATGTGTGGTAAGAGGGAAAATAAAACATTTTTCATCCATAAAAACATTGCCATTGGGAACTTCTGGAACATTATCTCTAAGAAGATGTGCAATGAAAAGGAAAGGATCTTTTTTTCACAATTGAGACACTGACTATAGTTAAGTATTAGGAAATAATTATCACTTGGAAGTATTTAGCCTTTATCTTCAAAAGCTTCATGATTTGTTCATTTGCTTGACAAATATTACTGAGTAGCTGACACTTTTCCATTATAGCAATCTTATAACTTTTGACATATGATATAATCCTTATGACTAAAATAAATTTATTAGCATGTAAGAAATAGTATTATTTATCTATGCATCCACTTTTACTATATTTGAGTTATATATTACTCCACAGGAAATCAGTTATAAGATTCGTGATCTTGCATAATAGGTTATAACCACTACCCCATGACCAGTAGCTCACTCTCATGCAGCCATTCTAGTTAAGGTCAGCCTCTTGGGTTTATGCTTTGGAGTTGAACTTCTGGGGATTTGTTCACAAGCAGTTTGTATGGAAATTTCTTATATATTTAGCATTCTTTTTTTTCTCCTGAAACTCTGCCTTTTTTTTTTTTACCAGAAACTAGGAAGCACAGTTTTAAATTAGTCTTTCCTGCAATTATGTAGGAATGATTGCTGGTTTTGTAAACAACTAAATCATAATTTTCTACTATTTCTCATTGAGATTATCTTTTATTTTCACCAGGGTCCCATAGATTTTCCCAACTACCATATAGGTATGGTAAACATAAGTTAAATAAACATATATTATTGTTTAATATATTTATTTTGTAGTATTGTGTTTCTGAAGCAAGTAAGGCTCATGAATACATATTTTCTATTTAAACTACAATGTTTGGTTAGACCCAAATTTAGAGGTTAATTTAAAATGCAAAAAGCCTCAGATGTTAGGAGGTCTACCTCCTCTTGGGATATTAAGATAGCCCCAAAGACAGAGTTTAATTGCAACATGATACAGCGTGCTAGCTCATTGATGAATTGTATTCAGGGATCGGTGTTTGGATGGTTGCCAGGATTTGCACCAGCCACAGACAAAGATTGTTTTGTGTGAGAGAGTGTGTATGTGTGTTTGTGTGTGTGTGTTGAAATGGTCACCTGCTGTCTCATTTTTATATTGAATTTAAATCTATAGGAAGAGTTTTATGAGAGAAAATTGATTCTCGCTGATAGAGAAGAAGTGGAACAGGAGGCAGATAATATTTTAAAGGATGCTGATATCAGTGATGTTGCATTCCTTGTAGTTGGTGATCCATTTGGGTAAGTCAAAGCAGATACTTTGACTTTTAATTTATTTACTTTTTTAATCATTAAGAATTATTATATTTAGAACTTTGTCTTCCAGGTGCTGATAGGAGACTGTTTATGTAGGCTCTGTCTAAAATTTTATAGTTTAAACTTTGGTTATCTTTGAGATTAATGAAAATTTACTTGGGAAAGATGTCATCATATATCACTTACACTGGTTATCAGGTGTCAAGTTTATGTTGTTGCTTTTGCTTTTGTTTAGAAAGTCACTTAGGACATCAAATAACAAAGTAGTATGTTGTTATTAAATAGGTATATTGCATTATCAAGAGTCATACATGCCATTTATTTTGCAGGTAAGTGCAAGTGTCTTCTGCTTGCTTTGTCTTAGACTCCCCCCACCCCACCCTGTTTTAATCATATGCTATTTAGTGATATTGCTATCACTTTACTTTCCTTGAATTTATCATTTATGAAGCCTCAGATTTCAATTTCTTATATCCATTGGGAGCTCTGTTCTTGCCCATTACAAAGATGGGCTTGTACTTGTCTTGTCAAGCATCATCAATCTCTAATGTCAAGCCAAATAGAACAATTCTTTTTCTCCAGCTGGTGACCCAAAATTTATGTCACAGGTTTAAGAAACATAAAGACAATTAAGTCACTTTGAGCCCACCACCAAGGATATTTTTCAAAGCAATGGAGTTACATGTACATGTGTCTGTCAAAAAGAAAATAATTTATATCAATATGAGGTTTTGGAGATTATGTATCATTCTTATATTTGGTTGCAAATGGTATCCAGTCACTGACAAAGTCCGGGAAACCAATGCTACTTGAAGTGAGATTTGCAGACTGTTACCAGCCTATAAACTTACCAGTCCATGATGAGATAAGTACAGAAATTGAAAGTAAACTTTTAGACACTTTTATAGCAATTTTACAAAATAATTTTATCTCTGCTAAAACTAATAATAAAATAATAAAAATAAGCAGCAAATAATCACAATCTCATTGACATTCTTAAAAGATCACTAAATTTGTGGGTAAATGGACTTTAGAGAGGCAAAGTAGCCCTGGTGCAAGAGAGAAAAAAGACAAATTGAGGAAAATTTAGAAGGAAAAATGCTCAGATGTATGTGATAGATGAGGATAGAAAAGAAGTAAGTCTTCAAGTATTCTGACTTTAGTAACTGAGTAGTTGATGCTGCCATTTTTTTGAAATGATAAAAACCAGCAGGGAAGAGGGCTGGGGGAAACAGGAATTGATCCTGGAAATGTTTTAACTTTCATGATACCTGCTAATGGAGCTCAGGGGAGAATCTGTCCTGGTTATATGACTTTTAAAGCCATCCATATCTAGATGTTTAAAGCCAGAGGAATGGGTGGAATTACTGTAGGAAAGAATAAGAGCGGGAAAAGAAGACCTAGGATGGGTCAGTCCCTAGGATACGGGCACTTCATGGTCTCTCAAGAGCAGAGGGAGATGAAAACCATCAGAGTTGTGCTAAAGCAGAAGCCAAGGAAAGAGAAGGTTTTAGAAAAGAAAGAGTGGTCAGCTTTGATGTACTGCTGAAATGTTGAGAAGACAAGGATAGAAACGTCTGTGTAATTTAAAGACTTTATGGAGGAGTTGGTGCTGGGGGAAGGTCTGGTTTAACAGTTGAAGATTGTGAGGTAGGATGGGGGGAGTTGGGGAGAAAGGGAAATTTCAGTGTAAATGAAAAAACCTTAAGGCCCAGAGAAAGTACTGCCATGCTACTCAGAATCCTTCAGTGACTTCATGGCCTTAAACCTTTTAACAGTTTTCTCCTTTTTCCATTGGCTGCTCCTCTTTTTGACTGTGGTAGAACCAAGCTATTTTGCAAATGTTTCGCATTATTTATTTTCTGTTTCTTTCTCATGCTTTTTCCTTAAAACAGACTATTCTTCCCAGTTTCTGTTTAGTAAAATAATAGATTCTTTGAGACCCAACTTAGATGCCACCTCTTCTAAGAATCTTCCCATATTTTATTCAGGAATAAATGCTTTTTTAAAAAAACTTCTAACGAATTAATTTTCCTTATGTCAGTGACTAGTCATATATAACATTGCATTCATATTTATGTGGTATTTACTGTACTGTAGTTGTTTTTCATTTACCCACTGGATTACTATTCAGATATATTAGTCATTGGAGATAAGATGATAAGGAAGGTATAAATTTTAATTGGGCCTTGAAAAATTTGAATTTAAATTAATTAAATAGATAAACCAGGAATGGAATACAAAATGTAACAAGGCACTGAAATGCTTCCTTATATATGACCAAAAAATGTACTGTGTTTAAGTTTAAGCCCCTTTCTACTTATTCAAATAAAAAATTCAAAAAGAAGGGAAAATTGTTTACTCAGTCTTGAATTATTTTTTGTAATTTTTAAAAAATTTAAAATATTTAAAAATTTATAAAATTTATCATTTTAACCATTTTTGAGTGTACAGTTCAGCAGCATTAACAACATTCACATCATTGTGCATCTATTGGCACCATCCATCTCCAGCAATCTTAAATTCATGAAGAAGGTACTTGAAAGTCAGTTAAGTCAGTTGATGTAGTTCTCATCTTTGCCCTTTTATCTAGGTTGTTTAAAGGAATGTGGAAGTTAATCACATAAAGAATGTAAATGACTTTAAATATACTGCATCAGTAGATCTGACTCAGTCATGTGAGAGATGACAGTGTTAAGCTTTCTATCCCTGTAAAGAGCAGTTGAATAAGGTCATCATTGAAAAGATTCTTTCTGAAGATAGTTCTGTTTTTATTCCATTCTGTATTTTAATGTGCTCCGTAACTATATGTATTTTATAATAAATGAACACATAATTTTTTATCTTTATGTTGTGTGCCATTTCCTTCATGTCATGCACGTGCACACATGGACATACACACACACACAAATATGCCTCTGTTTGCCTGTCTCCTGTGTACCTTAATGTGAGTCATTTGATTGTTTCCATTCTGCAAATTAATGTTATTATAAAGTAAAATGTAAAATGAACAATCTCAGCTTTATATATTCAAATTGATTTTGGTTAGAGCCACTCATGCCCAGAAATAGTAATAAATTTGTCTTTACACACAGCAGTGCACATATGCATGCATGCACCCACAAACACACATACACACACACACACACACACACACACACACACAGCCTTTCTCAGTGTACTATAATGAAATATTTTCATGAGCCACAGACTGAGGAATGCCTGGTATGAGGGTGTTAAACATGTAGTTCATACCAGTTTTTTTCTTTTTTTTTAATAAAGCAATATAATGCAATATAATCTAGGTAATTGTGGTAATAAAATAACAGTTTTATCACAGTTTTTCATAGCAGAAATCTGAGAAGCTCATTTAATCACATTTATAGCAATTTCACAAAATCAAATCACTTTGCCAGGTCATTAAATCTTCATAGTATACCAACCACATCTGGTCATTTTAAATGAACTTGTGAAAAAGAGAATAATTCTAAACCAGTTTTTCTTTCTGCTCATCTATTTAAATAACTCACCAAGTAACTAATTTCATTTTCCCTTATCTTAGTGTTAACTAGTGAAATTCTGTTTGGAAGGGATATTAAAAACATTCTTTACAACAGGCATTAATATTTTTTTAAGCTTATTCTAAGTCAAATTAATGGTTATTTTTTTAGTAGCTGTTGTTTCATTTTATGTGTGTGATTAAAAACAGACTTCCCTGGTGGGCATTTGTTAATCTGTTTCTGACTGCCTCATGGGGTAAAAGCCCTTGATCTTGCTACTTGGTATGCATTGACCAGTTGACAGGTTCTGCTTGTTTGTATGTAGTTTCTCAAACATGCTAATGTTGCTTTCCCCAGTTGGGCCTGGAGTTTTCATCAAGGGGGAAACAAGCTGTTAATAATGCAGTTCTAAATTGATTTGGGGTTAGGTTTCACAGTATCCATATTTATGTTTACATGTATTCTCCCTTTACCCTGAGAAACAAAGCCTTCAAAATAGAGCAGAAGTTACAATGGAAGCAGTGTCAGACTTTATCTTTTTGGACTCCAAAATCACTACAGATGATGATTGCAGCCATGAAATTAAAAGTCGCTTACTCCTTGGAAGGAAAGTTATGACCAACCTAGATAGCATATTAAGAAGAAGAGACATTGCTTTGCCAACAAAGGTCCATCTAGTCAAGGCTATGGTTTTTCCAGTGGTCATGTATGGATGTGAGAATTGGACTGTGAAGAAAGCTGAGCGCCGAAAAATTGATGCTTTTGAACTGTGGTGTTGGAGAAGACTCTTGAGAGTCCCTTGGACTGCAAGGAGATACAACCAGTCCATCCTAAAGGAGATCAGTCCTGGGTGTTCATTGGAAGGACTGATGTTGAAGCTGAAACTCCAATACTTTGGCCACCTCATGTGAAGAGTTGACTCATTGGAAAAGACTCTGATGCTGGGAGGGATTGGGGGCAGGAGGAGAAGGGGATGACAGAGGATGAGATGGCTGGATGGCATCACCGACTCGATGGGCATGAGTTTGAGTAAACTCCAGGATTGGTGATGGACAGGGAGGCCTGGCGTGCTGCGATTCATGGGGTCGCGAAGAGTCGGACACGACTGAGCGACTGAACTACCTAACTAACTAACTAGTTGTGCTATAATTTGAAACTTTGTCACAGAAATTATAAGAGATTAGAGGTCAAAATATTTGAGAATTGCTTCTCAAGTTCAGTTGCTGAGTAATATTCCACAGATGTCTTTTGCAGGTATGAGCAGAATAAAAAGAGCAAGTTAAAAGTTCCCTGTTTTCTGTAGCTTCCAAGGCTGCTTTAAGAGTGTTAAAGGCATAATTTAACATTGTACAGGGCCTGTGTAAATTTGCCAGAATTCCCAGATGACAGCTTAAGCAGGTGCTTTGAAATATTTGAGAGAGAACAGTGTCCTTGACTGATTCTTCTTGACCATTTGGGCTCATAAAATGTTGTAGATTGACTGCCTTAAAAAGTCAGTCTTTGTTAGTTTAACCCAACCTGATCTTTTCTCACTACAGGGCTACAACACACAGTGCTCTTATTCTGAGAGCAACAAAACTGGGGATTCCTTACAGAGTTATACACAATGCGTCCATAATGAATGCTGTAGGCTGCTGCGGTTTGCAGGTAATACTACAAAAGAATCATTTTCTTAGTGGTATTTAGCAAAAATGTTTTTGTTTTTTGCAAATTCCCATAGATTTTATTATATTTCATGAGTTATAAGACAATATTATATAAGACTGTGTATTAAGTTTTTTAATACTAGATATTTTATACTAATTTTCCTATACCTTAGACTTTTCCCCCCCTCCTTAGAATAGATCATTGAAATTTATCTAAAGAAAGATTTTAATTCTATATCCAATTGATACATACAAAAAAGGGAATATAACTCAATTGGTTAAGTATTCCTAAAACCTTTTTACATCATTCCAAATGACTTTGCATTGCTGAGGGCCATGTTTTTCCACTTGGTATTGTTTTCTGTGTGGTCAAGAGCACTATGATGGAGCATTTCTTAAAATAATACATAAAAGAGCTAAATGCCAGTGATATTAGGCTTTTAAGCCAACTTGGCATTACTGATATGCAAAGTTAGTTGTATTTAACTCAGAAATTTTGGTTCTGAGGAGTTAAAGGAGTGCTCTGTAGCTGCATTTAAGATTTTCTGTTTCAAACTTGGAACATGAATGCTGTGGCATTCATGTTCCAAGTTTGAAATTTGTGTTCTGATGTTCACAAGTGTGTAATCCTTGACAGTTGTGACTGCTTATGGCCAATAGTAGTTTTAAGACTCCATTGATTGTTAAGACACATTCCTATTTCAGATATAATAGGAAAGAGAATTTGTACCTTACAACCTGTGAAATACATCTTCCTGGAATACATAATTTAAAGTAACTTTGCAGAGTAAGGGACAACATGAGCTAGGAACTGTTGGCCTGTATTGGTTGGTTTCCTCTCTGTGAATGTGAAACGGACATTTTATTTTCATGAAATCTTAAATATTTTGGTCATATATGTGGAATATTCTCAAAATCAAATAAAAGAAAAAATAGTAGTTATTCTTTGGGGAATCATTTATGTATTTCCCGTATCTTGGGAAGTATAAAGATAGCTTGATCCTTTCTGCACATTTATTTTAAAGGAAATATAATCATATAAAACTTAATTAATACTTGTATGCTTTAGTGAAACCCATGGGTAAAAGCTGCTGTCAGTTATGAAGTACTGGCATGATTATTCTGATAATGCAGTTTAAAATTTTCTACACACTAGTTAGATGTCCCAGATGCATTCCCACATAGAATAAGAGCTACTAATTATTAGGCACAAAGAGACGGCTCACAGCCAGTGGATTACCTAGCCTCTGAATTCAGTGCTAGCTGTATATATGGGAAATCTCAGAAAACACTTTTTCTTTTATTCTGAGGGTCAATAAAATTCTATCTAATAATTTATCCGTTTAAAAAAAAATAGCTGTTTACAGCAAGAAGCTACATTACCCTTGGAACTCAGTGCTGTCTCTGGGGCTTTAGAGGGACCTATATTTTTTGTATTACCTAGGAAGAGTAGCTCACTTTAATTGACTAGTCCTGGCTAGTCATCCCAGAAATATTGCCATTGGTTCTGAAGAACCAGAGAAAAAGTATAAATGATTTACCTTTCAGTATTCATTACTTGCTTTTGGTTATAACTGTGTCCAAATTGGCAAAGAACTTTACTGTCAGTTTTGTCTTCTAATAAAATGCATACTTAAAAAAGCCTTGCTAATTCAAGTCTTTTTTTTTTTTTTTACACTTAAAATTCTCTGAACATTTCTGTGTTGGAGTAAATTGAATTCTTGGTGCTCAGATTCTTGAGTGATTCTCAGTCTAATATGCTTTCCTCTGGACAACGCTGCCTTTCAGTCATTTAAGAATGACTGCTAGGAGAAAGGGAAAAAGAGAGGGCAAAAATTATCATGTGTTAGACAAAAATATGTGAATCTTAAGTTAATTGACTATATTTTTTCATATTGGTTTTGTTTTTATATCTGGATAAGGTTAGTTAGTCCCTTTCCATCATATTTTGCTCTGAATTATCTTATGATAATCTATTATTTAGAGTTTTTAAGCCTAAATTTTTAAAAAGATCCTTGTCTTTTAAATCTGTTATCCAGACTGGCTAAAGGTAGACTTGTCCCTCTGATTGATAAAGAAGTGCAGAGTTATTTTTCTTATGTTTAAAATGAATGAAGGTATTTGAGAAGGAATTTACTAAGAGAATTGAAGTTTCTATACATATAAGCCGTCAAGATCATATCCACATTTACATATTTTTTTAATGTAACTTTCAGTTTTACATGGGATTTCTCTAAGCAGCCACAAAGTATTGTTTCCTCATCTTAGTTCTGTTCTCTAATCTGGATATGAAATGACTTACTACTTGTGTGAAAAACAGAAGGTAGCTTTCTGTTTTCTGGCTTATGTATTTATGAAATCTCTATGAAAGTATAATTCTTGTACCATGCAAGTTATTCATATCCCAGGAAAAGGAGGGATTGATGCCTTAAGTATTGATGCCTTTGTATAGTTTTCTAAGATAAAAAACATGGAAAAATAATCGTATTCATGGCATGCTTAAATTTTAAAATAAATGTCTATCAGTATACTGCAGAATGTGAAAATTCTGGCAGTCTCCTTCCTTATAATAGCTGGTCTTTTTACTATTTTGACTAGCATTTATGGAAAAGAAAGTAACCTGTACCAGTGGTCTTCCATCTTTAGTGTTCATCAGAGTTACCTAGAGGGACTATTAAAGAGTTTGCTGGGCATTCTCTTCAGATTTTCTGATACAGTATATATCTGGGGTAAGGGTCTGAGAATTTGCACTTCTAACAAATTCTCAGGTGATGCTGAAGCTACTGGTTATAGGTACCACACCTTGAGAATCACCAACATAGATAAAACATTTCTTAGAAAGTTAAAAACTGTACTGTCATTCTTTTAGTATGACAGAGTTGGAAAAGTCGATCTTAGTTCCCAGAAAAATGCTTGCTAAATGTAGAATGTTACCTTGCTGTGATCTCTTGCTCAATTTCCTAAAAGGGAAGTGGGCACCACTTTCGAAAGGCATTCTGTCATCTATGTGAAAGAGCTTTCCTATGAATTCAAAAACAGCCATCAAGTTATTGAAGATAAGTGCTACTTTGGGTAAGGTGACAGACCTGGACCATATGTACTTTCCAACATCTTTACCTTAGGTTAAGGACGAGTAGTGTGAAATTCCTTACCTGAAAATGGGTAGAGTATTTTTAAACTATTACTTATTATCCTTTCAAACTGTCTTTTTTGTTGTTTTTATTTTTTATTTTTTTTTAATTTTTTTTCCATTTATTTTTATTAGTTGGAGGCTAATTACTTTACAGTATTGTAGTGGTTTTTGCCATACATTGACATGAATCAGCCATGGATTTACATGTGTTCCCCATCCCGATCCCCCCTCCCGCCTCCCTCTCTATCCCATCCCTCTGGGTCTTCCCAGTGCATCAGCCCTGAGCACTTGTCTCATGCATCCAACCTGGGCTGGTGATCTGTTTCACCCTTGATAGTATACTTGTTTCAATGCTGTTCTCTCAGAACATCCCACCCTAGCCTTCTCCCACAGAGTCCAAAAGTTTGTTCTGTACATCTGTGTCTCTTTTTCTGTTTTGCATATAGGGTTATCATTACCATCTTTTTAAATTCCATATATATGCATTAGTATACTGTGTTGGTCTTTATCTTTCTGGCTTACTTCACTCTGTATAATGGGCTCCAGTTTCATCCATCTCATTTGAACTGATTCAAATGAATTCTTTTTTGTTGTTTTTAAAAGCAGCATAGAGAGCTCAGAATCTACCATCGAGTATTTTTTATTAACTTTGTAATTTATTAACCAACAGGAGACTCTTAATTATTAGTATCAATGAAGGTAAGTAGTTGCATAGACTAACACTTCTACTCACACACACACAATTGCTATGTGTTTTATTACAATATGCCATAAATACAGTTCTTTACCACAATCCTCATACACCTAATGAAATTTTTGTTGTTGTTAAATGAAAAGTATATTAGAGGTTGCCAAGTTAGACATCGTTAAGAGGAATAGTTATCTGTTTATTCAACAAATACTGTTTGCCTTCTTATTGGATTTCCCTGGTGGTTCAGATGGTGAAGAATTGGCCTGCAATGCAGGAGACTTGAGTTCAATCCCTGTGTTGGGAAGATCCCGTGGAGGATAAAATGACAACCTACTCAAGTATTCTTGCCTAGAGAATTCCAGGGACAGAAGAGCCTGGTGGGCTACAGTCTGTGGGGTCACAAACAGTCGGACTTGACTGGGTGACTTTTACTTTCTTATTGTTTGCCTACTGAGTTTCTTTGGATATGGTAATAAACCTGACCAAGAAGGTCTCTGCTCTCAAAGGGCTTACATTCTAGTAGGAAAGAGAAGCGATAACAAAATAAATATCAGGTAGTGGTAAGTATGAGAAAGTCAAGAAGACTGCTCGGTTAGAGAGTGACTAGATCACTACTGTCATTGGATAGTCAGGAGAGGTCTCTCAGGGTGGTAACATTTAAGATTAGATAGGAATCAGGAAGGGACAACCATATCCCAAAGTTGGAACAAAGACCCTAAAATGGAAATGAGCTTGGCTTCTTAAAGGAAATGAAGGAAGCCTTGCTGGAGAGTAGCAGGCAGAGGGGCTGGATAGGTGGGTGGACTTGGATCACTAGGCTGTCTAATACACTATCAGGAGTTTGGATTTTATTCTCAGTGATATAGACTAACTGCCTTAAATCCCCTAGAGAGATTTAAGCAGAGCAAATAACTTGATCTGATAAGTGTTTTAAAAAGATACCTCTAGCTGGTATGTGGAGATGGAATTGCTACCAGGCAAGACTAGAAGTGAGGAAATCAGTAAGCTTATTGTATTCCTTTAGAGGAGAGATGATGGGGGCTTAGACTGCATGGACAGGGTGGGGTATAGTCGACGATAAGTTCTAATATCCTATATATTTAAAAGCTAAAAAGTTGGCCTGTTTTCCAACTTATTTTTTAATTATAAAATGTGTTTTCATTTATTTGGCTGGGCC